TAACACGACTTCTCTTTCTTCCAGTTTCCAATAATGTGTTTTTCATTTGCTTCTGAGCCCGTAGCAGCGGTGCTTTTACTATCTTTCCTACCAATCATCAGCTTCTGATGATTTAAGTGTCTTTAAGACAGCGTAGATCTTCTCTTCTGTGCTTCTGGCTTCCTCCTGGCTCTTGATTAGCAGAGGCATTCAAATCCATATTTCTACCAATAGTCTGTTCAAAGCAAGCTAGGCTTTTTCTGTCATGCTCCTCAAAATTCAGTCTGTATTTGCTCCTTACTGAATTCCAAAGCCATGTCCACATGTTTAGGTATTTGTTAAAGCAACATCCTTCTTCCAGTTCCCCAAATTGGTATTCCTTTGCCACATTAACGAATCACTACAAACTGAGTGGCTGAAAACAACCCTGTTGACAGCTGATCTTAGCTGAGTCAGACCCATTTTAGACTTCAGAAGTCCACAGTGGGTCTCACTCAGCTAAAATCGGGTGTCAGCAGGGCTCTAGGGAATGCCTGTGTCTTCCCTTTTTCAGCGACTGGAAGCTTCTTGCATTTCTTGACTCGTGGCTCTTCTCTCACAGCCAAAAGTATAACATGGTCACACTTCTCTCCCTCACACCACAGCCTCTCTCTTGTAAGGATCCTTGTAATTACATTGGACGCCATTGCATAATCCAGCGTCACCTTCCCATCTCAAGACCCTTAACTTAGTGGTGTCTGCAGAGTTCCTTTTGCCATGTAGTCACAGATCCCAGGAATTAGGGCATGGGCATCTTTGGGGAGGTGCAGGCGGAGCATTATCTTTCCTACCAAAGAAACATACTATACAAATGAGGTATTTAAAAGCGAAGTTTATGCCTCCCTTCTTTCTGCATCCCCAGGACCTGGTGTAGTCATTGCCTGGTACCTGGAAGGCACCCAGTAAATGTTAAATAATTGTTTTAGTAAAAATAACATGTATTTGGCATTTGCTACATGACAGACACTCTTCTAAGAGATACAGCAGTGAACAAAACACAGTTCTCACCCTCACAGACCTTACATTCTAGTGTAGGGAAGCAGAGAGTATATACACACACAAGAGCATTAGGTGATGGATGACATGAAGAAACATCATCCAGGGTAAGTGCAGAATTTGCAGGGTGTGCTATGTGAGAAGTCCTTTCAAACAAGGTGCCATTTGACTGGAGACCAAACAGAACAGAGGAACAAGACATAAATATTTGGGAGAAGAAATTTCATTAAGAGGAAATGGTAAATGAACAGATTCTGAGGTGGGAACATGCAGGGGGTTTGAGATTTTTAAGGAATAGAAAGGATGCCAATGAGGTTCACAATGAGAGGTGGAAGAATGGACTAAGAAGAGGTCAGACAGGTAGAAAGGACAGGTTGCGTAGCATTTTGTAATCTGTTGTGAAGAGTTGGATTACACTGAGAGGGAGATGGAAGTACATTACGTAGTTGCAACACAGGCTGGCAAAAATCAGACTTGTATTTTAAAAGATGATTCTGGTTGCTATGTTGACTACTTCCTGCAGGAAGGTAAAGGTGGAAGCAAGGAGACAAGACAGGGCTATTGCAGTGGTCCCAGGGAGAAATGATGCCGACTTGGCATAGAGTGGTAACAGTGGTAATATGAATTTGTAGCTCATTCCAAAACTTTTTTTAAATTCTCACCTGAGGATATTTCCATTGCTTTCCAGAGAGAGTGGAAGGGAAGGGGTGGGCTGGAGGGAGGGAGGAAGGGAGGGAGGGGAAGAGGGAGAGAGAGAGAGAGAGAGAGAGAGAGAGAGAGAGAGAGAGAGAGACATTGATTGGTTGCCTCCTGCATGTGTCCCAATCAGAGCCAGGATGCAACCTGCAACTCATTTTTGAGCCCCTGATTGGGAATCAAACCTGAGAGCCTTCAGTGCAAAGGCCAACACTCTAACCACTGAGCACACCAGCCACGGCTCTGAATTTTTTTCTAAAGTAGAACTCATGTGATTTGCATGAAGGATTGGTTGTGGTGTGAGAGATGGCAGTTAAAAATGACTGCAAGGATTTGGGCTGAGCATTTGTGAGTGGAGGCATCATGTTTTGAACTGGGGAAGACGACAGACCATAACACATTTTCAGTTTTGGATATGTTTACATTGGGTTGCTGATCAGACATTAAGCAGAGATGCTGTGTGGGCAGATGGACCTGGGGACTTGAGTTCAAGGGAGAGACTGGGGCCAGAGGTGCACTTTTGGGAATCTTAGCACCTAGGTGACATTTAAAACTGTGGAGCTGAATGAAGTCCAGGAAGAG